CCTTTCTAATATTGTGTGCCTGCCTTCGATGACGTGCGACTCTGATCTTTGGTGGTTGTGTCTAAACTATAAAAAACGGCACATGGCCACAGAGAAGAGAGTAAAAGCGCGACTCAAACCGGCCAGTTCTCGATCGGAAAGAAAACAAATTTTGAGCAGCGAATCGTTTTCCGGGTAGTTGGGCTCTCATATGTAATGTACAAATAAAAACCTTGACAAGCATAAATACACTGTCAGTGTCCCTTTAAACCTGTAATAGGTTCTGCGTTTTTGAATAAAGCCAATAAAAACCAGAAAACACTTGCCGATAAAAAATTTTGTTATTTATAAATTTTGTCAATTTAGATTTCTCGTAAAAACTCGAAATTTTTTGGGTCTGCCAGCTTTAATAAACCCAACAGGCCTTTATATCACCGTGGTTCCGCGAGCCAGCTTACGATTCACTTCATTTTTAGTGTCAATTTCCAATTGTAGGTGTCACAAAATTGCTGTTTAGTCTTTTGTAATAAAAATAAGCTAGCCTCCCTACAACCACAGTCGAATATGTTTCACACATGAAAAAACTCCTTTACTAAATTTGGAAACTGCTGCTTTCTACCTTTCATTCACTTCGGCTAGGAAAGCCACTCTGAATTTCATGTACCACAAACTAAAACTCCGAAAAACTCTGCATGCATTTTGCTCAGAAATGAAATCCAATACGCAGAACCCCAAATATGTTACAAATAAACACTGAACATACTCCTTTTACGACAATGCGCTCAGTTTATCAGTCGAAGTTCACATATGTAAAGAATGTTACACACAGAAGATGACAAAGCATTTAATTGCAGATACACGAGTGATCACTATTATATTCAAATAAGGAAGAGAAAAGGATGGTTTGGCCCTAATCATGACGTCCTATTTCAGGCATGACCTGCTGCATACCACATTGTGGTTCAAGCAGACGGAAGCCAGGTCAAGAAAGGAACTTTGCACTCCACGAAATACCATCAGACCCGGATGAACGAGCGAGCTGGCTACAAGCAATCAAGAGAGATGACTGGCTGCCATCAACCTACTCCATGGTTTGCAGTCGGCACTTTGTGCCATCCGACTATGTTGAGGGCAAACGCCGGAAGCTGAAGGAGGGCGCTATCCCAAGCATCTTTTGGAGCATGCCGCCTTCAAATATCACTAAGATGAAGGACGCTATCAGAAGGAAGTGCAGCACTCCAAATTCATCAGAAGTTCCCAAGAAGAGGCAATGCCTGGACACAGGCAGTTCGCAAGTGACTGATGCGACATCAAGCTCTACACTGGACACTCCACCGACCTCCTTTCTGTGCAATGAAGGTGCTGAACGAATCCAAATCATCTGGACATCTCCAGCGAGCACCTTGGAGCCTCAAAACAGGCAGGCATCAGAAGTGTCAGACAGCAGGCCATGCCAACAGCCAGTGCTGTTCACCCATCAAGGAACACAGGCAAACGTTCGAAAAATGTCAGCACAAATAACCGTAGAGAAACGTAAATGGACCCGACGAGTCACCACCCTGCGAAACCAAGTGGAGAGACTCAAGAACACTGTTGACAGATACAAAAAAGACTTGGAAAAGTTGCAAAACCTGAGGGAAGAAGATGATGTCACAAATTTTCTTAACATCCGTGAACAAGCAAAGGAAAAGAACATATCGGCTATGTTTCTAGTCGACCAAGTAAAGAACTACCACAAGAAAAGCCTAAGGTGGACAGAACATACCATCCGTCACTGCATTTTGCTGAGACACATTTCTACGAAGGCCTATGAACACATAAGGTCTGAAGAGCTTTTTAATCTTCCCAGCAGGAACACTGCAAAGCTACATTGGAGCTGCCTCAGGTCAAACTGGCTTCAGCGACTTGGCGAAGGCTCGGCTTCAAACAGAACTGCACAACCTGGCAAACACACAATCAAGGACATGCTCTCTCATTATTGATGAAATGCAGATCAAACAGAGCTTGCAGTACAACAAGCAGCAAGATGTCTTTGTGGGCCAAGTGGACCTGGGACCATTGACTGAAAAGACCAAGCAGCCCATCCTGGCAAATTCGCTGCTGTGCTTTCTCAGCTCAGCATTCCATACCGGATCCCTGTTGCCTACTTTTTTACCAAAGGGTTAACAGGAACCGAACTGGCCAAGCTTCTGCTTCATGTCTTGGGCAAGGTGGAAGACGTTGGCCTCAAAGTACTCCGGATTGTAACTGACAATCACCGAGTGAATGTCAATGCAATGAAGCAGCTTTGTGGGGGACTCCTTACACATCATATCCTGCACCCAAATGACCCGGAGAGGATTCTGTTCCTTAGCTTTGACTATGTTCACATCTTGAAGAATATACGGTCCCAATTCCTGGAACGCAACTTTGGAAAGGACAATGAGATCAAGTCCTTCTACCTCAAGAAGTTGTACGAACTCCAGAGAGAGGCGGCTGTCAAGCCAGTCAGGTTCCTGAGTCGCAAACATCTTTTCCCTAGCAACATAGAGAAAATGAATGCCAAGAGAGCAGTCCAGCTCTTCTCCCCTGAAGTGACCGCTGTGCTCAAGCACCTCCAGGAACAAGCTGGCCATACGAGTGACCTACTGTATGCAGATGCAGGACCAACCATCTTCTTCATGGACTCTGTGTACCGCTGGTTCATTTTGCATGATACAAGTAACTGCACACAACACATACACCAACGCTACCCAGATGTGCGCCAGTATGATCACCCAGACGACCCTCGTCTGGAATGGCTCGAGTTTTCATTCCCAGCCTATCTCGAGCAGATCAAGAGCACGGCAAGCCCATCAGTTCCTGACGACAGAAACCTACGAAGCCCTTCTCTTGACAACATACTCGACAGTTGCATGTGTACAACACCTTCTCACCAAGGAAGAGTTTGGATTTGTACTGACCAGGAAGTTCAGCAGCGACGCCATTGAGTCCCTGTTTGGCTCATTGAGACGATCTCAAGGGTGCAATGACCAGCTTAGCGTTCGGGCTGCAATCTCAGGAATTGAAAAGATCCTGAAAACTGGTCTCATCACAGCTTCCCAGCAGAGCAATGTGTCACATGCTGCCTCGACCTCATCGGGTATGACTTCAGCAATTCGGTGCATACCACCAACAGTGTCAGCTGCCACGCCATTCCAACTTCCACAGAGTGCAGCGGAAATCTTAGAAAAGCTGTCAGATCCCAATGTACAATACCTGCCAAGCCTCGAGCTGTCGGCGACAGCGCACGTTGGGGGCTACATTGCCCGTGTTGTACAAGAACACTTTTCATGCTTCTTCTGCATACCTCTTCTTACAAAGCCGAAGACAAACAGTGCCTTGCAAGGGATCACAAACCACCTGGACCGGGGAGGCCTTTTGTATCCCTCAGATGAACTCGCCCACCTTCTCAATGTCCTCAGGACATTTGCAGCGGATGTGTTGTCGTACAACCTCAGGAATTGGCAGCCCCTCGAAACTCTTGTGAAGTTTGCACTGCCAGCAGTGTACGACTCTCCTTTGCTGCTCTGCCCAACGAACAACAAGGCTCATCGCCGTGAACTGATCCATCTTGTCTGCACAAAGTTCTTTAGACCGCTCCTTGTTAACTATGCCTTCTGTCACACAGACAGGAACGATAGATTTAAGATGTTTGCACGAAAGCCTCTATCTCGGAAGTTTCAGAAGGTGAGGTAGAGTGCACGCAAAGGTAGATTAGAGCAGTGTTTTTTTTTTCTTTTTCTTTTTCTACCTCTAGTCAAGCGGAACTCTGTTCATATTTATTTTATTTGGCCTTGGCATTTAGTGATTTTGTGTCCGAGTTGGTCTTTCTGCGCAAATTAGATGATATATGTATAAAGGTTATATTTGTTTCCAATGAGTTTACTGGGTGCCTTTACTCCCGCTAATAAATCCAGCACCTGCTACAAGTCGGTTTTCCCTTAAATTTGGTCGGATTTCCAGCACTCGTCACTGCAACGTGACTCGATCACGTTCCACCAGTAACATAGCACAACACTGCAGCAATGTTTTGTGTTGCTAGGGTTTGTTTTAATGCGTTGAAACGCATCAATTATTAAAAAAAAGGAGACAAAATGTTGTTGCAAAACTTCTTTCAGCAGAACTGCTGTCCCTTATTTAGACACAGTTAGATTCTTGCCTATCACTGCTCACGACGTAACTTTTTTTCTTTTTTTTTTTTCATCTAGATAATTCAACATGCTGAAAATTTAGACACGATGCAATATTATTATATGGAAAGCCTTTGACCAGCGCGACTGCGTAATATAGAAAGCCGAACTCTCGACCGACGTTTCACTGCCTTGCCTGACCTTAATTTTGCTCTTTTCTGACGTTCGAGCTTGCAAACCCTGCTGGCCGAAATTATTAATACCGCAGCGCTTTTCCTACTTATGCACAACTCAGGTTAAGATTGCGTTGTAACCAAGATACTGCTCCTCATCCGGGGTTCGAGTCCAATCACAGCGGCTCATGGGGTTCTCACCGAGTTGCCGCCGTCCACGCCGATATTTGGCCATTTGGCCGCCGAGCACGTCCGGCGAATCTTCTGCTCCCTTCGGGAAGGCCCATGGGCTTCACCGCACAACACAACATGTACGCCTAGCTGGCGCCGCCACGCGGGAACCACACGCACTTTTTGCCGGCCGCCTTTGCATTGCCGGAGCCACGAGCTGACGGGCATTGTACGTTTGAGTCAACCTCTACCTCGTTGGTTTGAGTCCAGTTTTCCGTGCAACACTCTGTGAGTGCGATGCATTCTGGGAGAGAACTCGAACGGTGCCAGTGCGCGTGAAACGAACTCGCTCAAGCAACCGAGGACGTCATGAGGGAGGTTATTTTTTGCTTGTTTTTGTAATTTTAATTCCCCTATAACTTTTAAAATAAAGGGAATTTCGAGAAAAGAAAAGTTTCACTAAGTTACTACGTTCAGTGCGATCAGGCTCGGTGCAAATTTAAAAATAGTAAAAAAGTCATTGCAGGGCCCCTTTAACCGTACACGCCGCTTCGCGTAGTGTGCGTACGGGTAGGTCAGATTAAAATACTGCCTCCGCTCAAAAACAAACAAAAACTTGTTGCGTTATATGCTTATGACATGTTTGCAGTTCCTCCCCTGCAAGCACACGCAAGGAACGACAGTATTTTAAATAAATGAGTATATAAATATACGGATTAGCTATAAAATGCTAGGGAAAATTGGTGAATGAAAATGATCGCATCACGAGACAGCCGCGTAACGAAACGTTTGGTTAATGAACTGCTCTTGAAGTTAATTGAACAAAGTAATCTTTAATACCGTAGGAAGCACTAAACAAAATAACCTTAGAACGTGAAAACACTGCACAAGAAGAAAAAAAAAAATCGACTCACAATTGTAAACAATTTTGGTTTCAGTTTGCCCATAGTAGCCAGAGCCTTCAACCCTGTCGGCCATATTTAGACACACTGTACCGAGAAATAAATACTCCCCGCCTTCTTTATAACCTCGTATCAGAACGCTAATTTCTTTAAAACCAAAACGAAATGCTGTTTTGTTTTTTCGTAGCTCTTACCAAAATGTGCTTCGAGCCTAAGGGCCCGAAGTGGCCCGAAGGGGGTTAGTTTGTTTTGAAACGAAACCAGGCCGCTTCCGATAAAGCTATCGAGGTCAAGTTCACAGTTAGCCGAGACAGCTGAAGAAGCATCTTCCCAAGTGGGACCTCATTCTGTCGCCGAAATGGGCAAGACGGACAAGTCGGCGGTCGCCTTCCTGGCTGCCGTGTCGGTCGTCAACTGCCTGCTCAGGTGAGCTGAATCCGCCTCACGCTCATCCCCGGCGTCCGCGCCTGAGGTGCGATGATCCCACCGACGAGGGACTTTCCGTTCTATCTTTAGCGCCAACTCTGCTCCGCCAGCTCCGCTGCAGTTGCCGTTGTTGCCGTGCGTCTGGCTCATCCCAAAGTTCGTTCTCGGTGAACCGAATCTGCAGTTTACGAAAGTGTAGCGAAATTGCGAGGTTTCGGACAGGATAAGCACGCGGTGCACAGATTGTTAAGCCCTCTGCTCTCTGTGTTCTTATGGCTCTGCAGGGCTCTTTTTGCCTACATTAGGAAAACAACTCACCGGAGTTATGAAGAGCCTTTAGGCTCGATAAATAAGTCAAAATATATCTGGAGTTCTCTCTGGTCAAAGCCGCTTTGAAAACGGGTTGTTTCTTTTCTTTCACTAAACTACAAAAAGCAAAAACAAAAAAAAACGAGTATTGTTAACGACTTTTTAAATGCAGTCACGTGTTTTTTCGGTGCAGAAGTGCCGGCGAAAGTGCAAGTATTGGGTGAAAATAATTGCAACATAAAGATTAATAACTAAATAAGAAATCAAATAAAGTAAAAAAAAAGTGTAATGAAATGCATTTACAAATCTGTGTAGCTCTTGACGAAGAGGGGCCTCTCCTCCACACCCTCTCGTCCTCCTACCCTCCTCTTCTCCTCCTGCTGCTGAATTTGTTCATGGATGACGAGACACAAAGTCGTGATGTCATTTTCCCTGCCAAATTTAGCGGGGAAACTGAATTGGTGTTGAGGTCACGCGACGTCAATTTTTCTGCTAAATTTAGCAGGGAAACTTAACCCGGTAAAGTTTGCGAGGAAATTCCCCTGCTAACTTTAGTGGGAAAATGTCCCATATAATGCAACATGCACGGTCATGCTGATGCCGCTCAACCCGAAAATACGCGCCTAAGAGCTGCACTCTAAGAATAAAAAAAAATAGCTAATACAACGATTGATAAATCTAGCACAAACTGCACATGGAGTGTGGTTTTTGTGGGACCAGGGTAGGGGAGAGATACCCTGAAATGCATTCGCAAACACAAACGCTCCGATCAGGAACGTAGCCGGGGGGGGGGGGGGGGGGGGGCTCATGGGGCCTGGCCCCCCCTCTCCCCCCCCCCCCGAAATCTTCCATTTTGCTGGGACCTCCTCTGACCCCTCTCCCTCATACAGCATTTTGTCATGGGCAGGCCCCCCTTTCCCCCTCCCCCCCCCCCCTCCCCCGAAACAAAATCTTGGCTATGTGCCTGGCTCGGATACATGGCAGTGACAGCTAAAACAGTGTCACTGAAATCATATCTCGGCAAAACTTACTCATCAGTGTACTCACCTCACTCACCCAGGGGTTTCCCCAGAAATTGAATTTAAAAAAAGTGTCTAACTTTTTTGGGGGGGAGGGGGGGCGGGGGGGGGGGGGGGGGGGGGGGGGGGGGCTTTAGTGTATGGACGAGTCGTTGCAAATTTAGGAGGAGCCTGCATAAAAAACAAGGGGGGTGTGTATACCCCCCCGGCCCCCTGTAGGGGGTGTGTAGGGAAATCAGTGCACTCACCCTTACCGATCAGGCATGAGGTGAGGGTGAGGGAGTTTGTAATCCTTGAAAACTCGGGAGCTTGAGGCTGAGTTCAGCGAGTTCATGAGTTTGGCGAGGCAAGAGGTCCCCTGGGGGGTCATGTTTCCTTAATGGTTTGCAGGGTGACGTCTAGGAGGGGCGGGTCATGGGAATTCTCTGTACATTTCTGGGCAAGTCGAGTTAACGCTCGCCTCGCGGTACCCTTATCAGCATGCTCCCCATTCCAAGTATTAAGGAGACGTTCGCAATATCCTATGCAGAAATAAAATACGCACCCACGGCGGTGCATGTCTGAAGAATAATTCACACCCGAATAAACGACGCTGCAGACGCTCACTTCATACTTGCACAGAGTTGTTGCAAATGCTAGAAATGAACAGTGCACACAGTACAGAATACTTCGTGTGACTCGCAATGACGCACCCTTGTATTCCAACAAAGCACGCTTTTCTCCAACTCTTCTCACTCCAACTCCAGCGCATGGAAGGAGTTGGAGTGAAACAAACGAAAAAGCAGATAATTTTGTCACTTGGTGACACGACGACTGGCACCAGAGTGGTGGAAGATGGCAGCGACCATATAAGGTAGCAAAAGCAGCAGGCAACGCAAGTGCCAGTGTCGCTAGTGAGGGCGGGAACTACTTCCGAGCGAGTGAGTGAGTTCACGCGTTCGACGAGGGGTGTGAGGGGTGCGAGTTCGGTGAGTTCATAAGTTTGGTGAGGGTGGCTCATGAGTTTAATGAGGGGTGTGAGCTTTGCAGGTTTCCGGACAATGGACACTTTTCCTCTCCCCGCAGTTGGTATTGCGAACGCGGCCCATAAAGCACGTCACCCCTATCGAGTGGTCGTAAACTCTCTGTAGTACAGGCTCTCTAGTGTTCTTTTGTCGTAAAAGACAAACTAAGCAAATGCGTGCATGTGGAGCAGCCTTTATGGTGTAATCAAGCATGCGCATCCATGCATCAAACCTTCGTTGCTCCTTTGTGAACTCCTGTCTTGCCAGTGTCCCGCTGCACCGCTTCAAGTCTGTGCGGCGTGCCCTGGAGGAAGTGGGCACGGAGGTGGTGGTGGCCCAGCCCAAGTACTACAACGAAGTGGGCGGCACCCTGCCCATTCCGGAGCCCCTGTCCAATTACCTGGATGTGAGTGCATCCCCTCGGGGTTCGAATGCAATTTGGAATGTGCAACTACTAGAAGTTAAGAGTAGAACTATGCTGCCTGGAATGAGTCTCTGGCCCGCGTGTTTTACCCCATCCCAAAGAGTAGTCCCACGATTCCCGCCCAACGACGTCGTAGAACTGTGGCATCATCGTCGGCCACGATCCCGGAGGTGTCGCAGCGGCTGTGGTAGATGTGGCAAACACCCGTTCCGCTGCGGGTCGCCCTCCGGCTCGACGGCCTTTGGAAGCTTCGACGGCCGGGAGTGAAGACGCCACAATGGCAACGACACTCGCGTTTCGTCGCGCTTTCTTTTTTTTTTTTTTTTGAACTTCCACGTCCAATTTTTACGATCGCGACGTCCGACAGCACGACACTCTGGCTTTCGGGACGCCACTTTGTCCCACTTAGGGACCACTTCCGACGCATGAGCAGAGTGAAACGCTAAGCATGCCGGTGGAGACTCGTTCGAAGCTCCGTAGTGGAACATTTAATGAAGTACAGCACCAGATGGTTGGTAGAAGCTAACAGTCTCGGCATAGACACTCGGGATTCATTTATCGGTTCTCTTTTACGTAAAGGTTGAAGCTTAGAAACCCCAGTTCGGGGTTGCCGGGAAAACAACCACTTTGAGCGACTGAACTCGGTTGAGGGAGCTTTTATTGAGAATTGCCATGACACTGGGCGTACAGTAATCACTTTTTTGTGTACGGGGACTCTTCATTGTCAGTATGCACATCCTTATAGAGTGGTTTATTTTTGTATTTTGGGGCATAAGGCTTAGAACTTGGCACATATCATACTTTGTTTCACGATTAGTACCCCCGCGCTCCCGACAAGGGGGTCGTAGCCTCCACAATTTGCCAAGCTATCATAAAACGGAATATAGGTGTTGCACGCCGCCAAACAAGCGGTAGAAATAACTGGAGTATACAAATGTAAAGGAAAGGTTTGATACATCTTGATTGAACTAAGCCAAGCTGAGTTTGATTTAGTTGACACTATTTACAAGATCAGAAAGAAGAAACTTTCTGTGAGCCTCGCATGGGCTCTGTACTTTTCGGGCGCTCGCAAGGTGCGTGCTTTTTCGGTAAAAAATAAAATGAGGTAAGTCGGAGTACAAAATAAATCCTAGTGTTTTATAGAATTGTGCATATACCAATTTTTTTATTGCGAATTGAATATGACTATTAAATTTTGATGGCAAATTGAATTTGCATATTTCCTAGTATGACTATTTTACCTTTAATGAGTATTGAGCGTGGACGCTTTAATAAATTGCAGCTGGAAATCCTTTCTAAAAAGCGTACCTATGAAAAGGAGCAGTTTTATGAGAAACATTCTACATACTCGCATTAAATTAAAGAAAGGCTCTGATACGATGAATTAGGTCAAGCATACTGTAACATGATAAGCTAAGCACTGACTATCATATTTATTTGAATATAGCTGGTCATTTTCTTTCTTGTTACTACTCTCCATTAAGATGAGGAGTCGAATTAGGATTACGACCAAAAAAGGCCGACTTAGAATAGGGAGTGAAACTTCTGAGACCGCTGTGCCAGCCAAGATGCTCAGACACGTGAGACGTTTCTTCTAGCTTTTTGGTGTGAAGCAGTTAAGCTTGACACATACATGCTAGTGCGAAGCGGTGCAGCTTGATGCAAGCAATTGGAAAATTCAAAAGATATCATTCATGATCTTCAGATGTCTGAAAAACTCAAATACTCGATCAGTAAAAGTGTGCCGCATATCATATTGAATAGTTAACGCTATTCACAAATGCCTTGAATGTTCAGACATACCTACAATTTTTAGGCTTTAATTCCGTTCATAAGGCTGGATGTAATGAGTCGGTTGACTTAACGGCATCTACTCTGCATGGATGCTAACTAGGCTTAGGTCTTTAGTGATATTGATGAGTAAAAATAATCCTCTTAAACCCAGCAAAAGTCATTTGCACAAAAGCATCATTGACATGGAACTATGCGTGTATTATCAATTTTCCATTTTGAAAGTTCAGGCTAGAACTCCTGTTCCTTTCACGATGTAATATTTGTAAGAAACTCTCGAAGAATGGAGAATGTGAAATGAAATTGAAGGCTGGATACTTCAGTTTATGATGCGAGAGTTTGTGTACAAATAGGAAGTACCACTTTTCTATGGGTCTTCCTTATGGCAAATTTTGATTGTTATTGACTGCATGTTTTCAAATTATACCTACTTGTGAACTGTGTGTTCTGGTGTTGTAGGCAGTGTTATTAAATATTCCTTCGTGGTTGGGCTGATATAGCTGACTTAATATCTTTATTGCTGTTCATTTACTTTTTAGATTTCGCCAATGTAAGTACTTCCTTGTTCACTCCTTCCTAAGTTCACAAAATAAGGTTACTTTATGAGTGTTCCGTTTAGTTGGACTTGGAACCTGAATGGTTGCAGTGTGTCTCTCTGGATAAATTTCTTCAAAGTGTTCCTCGAATAAACCTTTTTTGTGTGGACTTTATTTTGCTTTTTAGGAATTTCGTTCCTTTGCAGCTTTAAAAACTGAATTAAAACATGTTCTTATATGGAAAAAAACAGCAGGATATGCAGTCATTAATTTATACTCTCAATGTAACAAATGAATGAGACAAATGTACCGAACCATTTGTTTAGAAATTGGCAAGGGTGATTGATGGCTTGAAATTTGCAAGCACTAAGCAAAGAACTAGAGCAATCAAACAGTTGAGCAAGGTGAACTAAAATCCTGAGACCAGGGAGAAAGGCACGACGAAGTAGGAGAAAAAGAACAGGAGTCTCAAGCGCAGCTCAAATTTATTGATATAAATCCTGTTTGTGTATGCTTTAGGCACCTTCCCAAACAGAAAAAAGACAAAAAGAGCACAAAGCAGGAAGAACCTTTCCACAAACGTATGTGTGCAAACACTAGCATGAGCGGTTAACTACGAAAGGTATAGAAAAGGGGGCTGGAGAAGGGTTCAACTTTTGTTAAAACTTATCGGTGACATGGACGGTTTGGTGGTTGTGTCTAAACCATAGAGAACCAACGTCGCGTGACAACGGAGAAGAGAGTGAGCGAGACTCAAACAGGCCAGTTCTGGATCGGCGGTTTTTGGGCGGAAAGAAAACGAATTTTGAGCCGCAAAATGTTTCCTGGGTAGTTGGGCTCTCGTGTGTCATGTGCAAATGGAAACCTTGGCGAGCACAAATTAAAAAGGGTGAGATAATGTTAATTTATTGAAGTACCCAACATGTCTGACCTATCTCTCTTTCTAAAAGCCTCCGTCTAATCCAAAAAGTGTAAGAAAAAAAAACAAAAAACAACTAGAAGTCACATTTTTGCTTTTATTATGTCAGGGTGTTTCGGCTGCCAACTTGTGCCAAGATTTAGAAAGAGCTGGTTTATAGTCCTGCTGAGCAAGTCGAGATATTCCTCGCGATGGACCAAACTGGCTAAAATGCAGAGGGTGAAAATGTGCAGGCAGGCTGGTGAATTTACTCTATAATAAAAAAACCCGAGACTGCAAAAACAAATCATGTATGAGCACACACGCCGTCTCGAGCGAATGCAGATTAATTAGCTGACTATTGTGTGTCTGGCTAACTAGACACACAAATTAAGGCTAGCTTTATGGAAACAACACGATTGGATGATTTACAACACACTTTCAAGCTTTTCTGTTATATGGTTTATGCACAAAGTTTTAATTGAAAAAGTGGGCTAGTTAATCTGCAGCCAGTTTGATGCATTACAAGAAATCCCTTTTGACTTGCTCAACAAAACTGTAGCAAAAGGTGTAATTCGCTCCTTAGTATATGCTGTATTTTCGGAACTATAGACCACGGAACATACAGGTGCAGACTGTACAAGGGTTTGTTGTTTCTGTACTGTTCACATGACGGATGGTGTAAACGACAGAGGATGCTAACCTGATTTATGATGATACAAGCTTTTTTGTGAGTTAAGAAAGCAGGCATCTGTCAAGGTGTGTTGTGTAGGAGAGTTAGTATTTTCGTGTGGACTAGGCACCAGTTGCAAACTATGTAAGCAAAAAATGTTTTTTCAACAAAAATTGGTTTTTGTGGACTAGTCCAGAAAATATGATACATGACTAAGGTGCCCACCATTTAATCTGCGATGGTTTTCAGGAATGTATGGTATCTGTTACGATGTTCTTAATTAAGCGTGATCGTAGTAATCAATATTGACATTAGCCAAGGTTAATTATGAAGCTCAAATTTAAAGATTGACGAGGTTTTTTGAGAGGTCACCGCACCAACCAGAATATTTGCCTTCCTGCTCATCAACCTCGCTGCCTTCCTTTCTATTGACTTTTAACACTACCGTAAACGACCGAGCAAGTGCCCCCTCCCAATTCAGAGATTACCCAAACAAAATAAAGAGGAAGGGCCCTTACTCGGTTCGTGAATGACATTCAAAATGGCGTCCACAAAAGTATTACAGTTTTCATAAAATGGGAGAGGGCGCTTACAGGAAGGGGGGGGGGGGCGCATGCTCGGTATTTTACGTTAAATAGATGTCCCGCAGAAAACATTTTGGATTTCGCGTGTTCTTTTTTTTTTTTTTTCTAATAAATTGTAATGAATGCTGATAATCGGATGTTTTCTATAAGCGGTCCTCAAACCCGATCGGCAGACCCTCGGGAGTCCTTGAGAGCGTTCGTCTGGGTCCGCACCGAGTCAAAAATCCGCTCTCGAAAAAAAAGCCCTCTATGTCATTGCAAACGACCTCTGATGCCGAATGCATTGGGGCTCTCCAAACGGCCTCCAAGTGGGTCAGTGGGTTCGTAACAGCCAAACGTTTGTCGACCGCTGTTTTATATACTAGCCTGTTTCTCGGATTATTGAGTACCATAGAATATTGAGCATCCACCCATTCTACCATAGGCGCCCACAGCTCAATTTTGTAACATTCAGAAAATACACAAAGAACATGTCTTTACATATTGTTGACCTAAGCAGCGCCCATCCCCCAGTTTTCCATGATTGTCTCCAAATTTTGAGTGGGCACTTGATCGGGATTTTACGGTTTATGTGGTTAGTGCGGCTTTCAGCCAGCAATTCTGGGAACTGAATTATCCTATAGCTTTGTCTCGCGAGCTGGTAAAAATTGTCCTTCAGCAAATGACTGAGAACAGAAACGTTTCTTTTCCGCAGTAGTCAAGCTAGAGAAGTACCAACCTCTAAAGGGAATGTTTTTTTAGCTTTACTACTCTCTAGCATTTCTGGCGTGTAAGTAAACCCGTCTTTTTTTCTTTATTTCTTTTGCGGATATTTTCCGCATTAATGGCTTTCTTGTATTACCAAAATAATAATTTGATTACCGTAATTACTCGCACAATGAATGCACTCGCGTAATGAACGCACCCCCCAAGTCGGCTTCTAAAAAAATCTACTTTTTTTTTTTTTTCACTCGCGTATTAAACGCATTCCCAACTCGGAAGTCAAAATCTTGACCCGCCCCCCCCCTTTCCCTACGCGCGCGAAATTAATGCACTTTTTTATCCTGGTGCAGCAGGTTGCGAATGCATGGGCGTGGGCAAACAAACCAACTTGCGAAACGCGGAAAAAAAACAAAACACGGAAGCAAGAAAAAAAAACATAAAGACAAGCTTTGTTTTTTTTTTTGCTTATTGCAGTTTTGTTTTTGTGTCGCACGCAAAGAGATAAGAAGTTACCTCGATTTTTTGGTATAAAGGGTCCGTTGATTATGCATATTTGCATCGATTGTTTTGAAAAAAAAGTGTGTTCATTCTGCGAGTAAATACGGTACTTATTACTTGCGCAATAAACTAAAAAGTTAGAAGTTGAGCCTTTGGTGTTACCCATAAATCCCCAACTCTGCATTAATCGGGGCGAAAACGTAGTACCTGCCCCTTTATTTTAACCAGTTTCTCTCATTGTAGATTTCTGGAAGAAACAAAAAAAGTTTTTGCCAAAGCAACAAACATTTAACAACTAAAGAGTTAAGCTTTAACTTAAAAGTTAAAGTTTGTACCGACGCGATACAAGACATGTTTGTTTTGTCTCTTTAGCCAAAAAGTATTGCGAAAATTGGCAGTGAGAGCCTGGCAAGTAGCGACGAAAAAAAGCTTGGAACATCCGGGGGATGGGCAGCTGAAATGGATGCGATTCTTTCCTTAATAGCGCTCTTGCTACCCCAGGCCCAATACTATGGACCAATCAGCATCGGGAGCCCTCCGCAGCCCTTCCGTGTGGTGTTTGACACGGGTTCCTCCAACCTCTGGGTGCCTTCTAAGCAGTGCAAGTGGACCAACATCGCCTGCCGTGAGTCACTGTCGTTTATTAGTCCACGTTAAATCCGACAGCATCTCTAAGCTTGTCAAACCGTGAGATTGTATGTGTTCGTTGTCACAGCTCGACCTCTAAATTTGCAGTCTCTAACCGTTAATCATCAACGAAATTCATTTACTAATTGTTCATATGTCTATCCGATTGAAGTGGGTATTACCACATATTTTGTCTTTCAAGGCATGAAATGCTTTTAGAGCGCAGCTCTTAGGTGAACGTTTCCAGGTTTCGCAATGGCGCGTCGGCATCAGCGTAACCGCCCCTCTAAATTTAGCAGGAAATTGAATTGCCGTCGAGGTCACATGACGTCACTTTTCCCGCTTAGCGGGAAAAATGACGTCACATGACTTCATGCCATGTCACTGATGAACAAATTCAGTTTCTCCAGTAGATTTAGCAGGAAACTGATGCCACAGGACCTTGACACCAATTTAGTTTCCCGCTAAATTTAGCGGGGAAAACGACACCACAGGACTAGCCTCGTGGTGCGAGGTGGAGGTGCCACTGCATAACACCAGGCCCCAAAAAGTACAATATCTGTACGAGAAATATTTATTTATTGATGTCATGTCAATATTTATGTCATAGGTTGGAGGCATGCAGGAGTCAAATCACTTTTTGCTCATAGAATAGTTTGTCTTTTGTAAACAAATAAATGACACAGTATTACTTGGACCAAGATTTCAGTTTGGCATGCAGGAAAACAAAATGGCACTCAAAGGGTTAAAGCACTAAAAGAGGCTGCAGATTTGTGCTTGAGTCATTCTCATTCGTGCAGGCTCGAACAAGAGCATGTTATATTTTTTAATGCGAAAGCACTAACTGTCTCATGGAGCGAGCTGACGTCATCAGTCAGAAGCGCGAAAACGGCAGATAGTTTCCTTCCGTTCCATTGGCTGGCGCACGTCGACGGGGCTCCTATTGGCCGCTGCGCTTGTCAGTTTTCACGACTGCTCACCCCACGGCGCTGCGTGTCCATCAGCGCCAGAGCCGTTTATCGAGAGAGTTTGGCCATGCATTGGTTTGAATAGGCGAGCATCTCGGGGCCAACCACAGGCCGCGAAACAGCCCCTAGCGGTGGTCGTGAGCCCTAAATTTGTGACACGACTAATTCAAGCCGTTTTAGCGTCGCTAGAGTTAAAAGGAGTAACTCTCAGTGACTGAAAACTTTGTGCGTGCGAGGTTTTCGTCACGCCAATATTCAAGTGTAGAATAAACGAACGTGCGCTCCAAACCAGGGCCAACTTGCTAGAAACAGCGTCTCAGCTGAGACGGTGAAAGAAAGCACTGCCAAAGCCAGCGCACGAGCTGAGCGGGACACCGCGTCTCCAGGACGCTGTTCTAACAAGCCAACATGAGCAGTGCAGAGAAAGGCATGGGCACGAGCGCGTGGCTTTGGAAAGTGGCTCCTACGCACGAGTTCACATACAAACGAAAGCGTTTTGCTGAGCTAGGTTCACGCGCCTGTACCTTTGTCTTCACTGCCGACATTTGTTAGCTGGAGCAGAGTGGCCGAGATTGAACGCCTCTATTTCACGCTTTGAATGTCGTTTGCAATATTCTGACGTCGCGGTCTCCTGATTGGTCGACGCTGTGTCACAAATTTAGTTTACGCTCTAAGCGCGGGGGAAAATTTTCGGCGCTGGCGGCGGCCTTTGCTCCGCCTGTTGGCCAAACTCTCCCAATACACGGCTCTGATCAGCGCGTCATTAACACGGAGCGTCCAAGGTCACCGTGCCCAGGGAAGCACATGCGCAGACGGGCGACAAAAAGTATGCAGCAGACAAAAAAGGAAGTGGACGAGCGGCTCGCATGCTTTTGCATTCGCAAGTCATAAGAAGTGCTTAGGTGTACCTCAATCTTTTTGTTATTCTAGAAGTGAGGTGCCACAGGTTGATTTGTTTGTCTTGTCTCTACCACAGAAAACCTTTTGAAGGTGATACACAAAAAAAAAAGAAAATAGCTAGAAATGGCATGGTGCATGTTTTCATGGGGCGTGAGATTGTTAACAACGAACTGGAAGCAAACAATGACTATGGAAGGCGGCTCTGTAGGTTGTCTGAAAAAGTGGATACTTTTTCAGACATGCTCCACGCCACACGGCTGGTGTGGCGTGGAGCATTCGTCTGGTTGAAGCAGGTCAAAAAGACAAGCATATCTAACAGACATAAAGTACTTGCGACCAATACAGCCCACAAAAAGACTGCCCTTTAGAAGTGAAGCTTGATATTACTTCCACTTGTACGTTCAGGGTCTGGTAGGCTGATCACCAATCACTCGAGCGAGGAAGCATTCACCAGACCTGAATCCTTCAGCTCAAAGAGACCAGGTGGTTAAATTTGGGAAAGCCACAGAATCGAAACATACCATACACGTTTGCAAGTCCGGCTTCAGGGCGCTGCCATCTTGCTTGGCTGGGGTGCACTTGGACGAGTCATAATCCGATTACGAAGCTTTGCTAAGGCGTCGTAATCGGATTATAGCAGCGCCCAAGAGCGCACCCCACTGAGAAAGATGGCGGCGCCCTGAGACCGAACTTGCAAACGTGTATACCAGGAGTAAGGAAGAATGCATTTATTTATCCATTAAAGGGGAACTCCGGCATAATTTTGTTACTCACTGATTAGCTGATTCGCTACAAAATTGGTTCGACAAAATAATACTACCTAGACGCTTCTAAACTGGTAACCCTTAAAGTCATAACATTTTTTTCTTAAAATTATCGAAGTGTTTTGGTCCGAGAGGGCTGAGAGACACTACTCGTAACACTGAAAATAAAGGAGGACCTCAGGAAGGCAAACTATTTTAACCGTTAGTGTCGCTCGTACGCAATTTGCGGGGCATCTTCATAGTTGAGATAGAGGAGGACATGCAAAGTTTCAAGTTTTTAAGTTTATCCTTCAAAGAGTTCGGTAAAAGTACATCTGGCAAATGCTGCGCACCCTGAGGAAAACTATATCATAGTTTAGAGAAGGTAACGATAATGCTCAGTCATTTCGGTAAACGTACAGTATAACGCCTGTGCTATGGAGCTATGAGAGAAATTACAGAAATTATACCATTCTTAATAGATTGAAAAGTGTGAAAAAAAGTTGTTTTTGCCTCGAAGATGCTGCAGCTTTCTATAACAAACTGTCGTGGAAATGAAGTATTTGTAAAATGTGTTTATTTCGGTTGCTTAGGTTTGCCCACGATGTCTGATCCCCCTTGCAGTGCTCCACAAGAAGTATGACCAGACACGCTCCAGGAGCTACCGCAAGAACGGGACGGCCATCTCCCTGCGCTATGGCACGGGCAGCATGACTGGCTTCCTCAGCGTTGATACCGTGTCCCTGGCTGGCATCGACGTACGTGAATGCGGAAACATCCCCTCGCGCATGGCCGACTTGACGTTGCGCGTGGCTCCACGCAAAGGCATGGGCTTCAAACCCGGCCAACCTAGATCTTCATCTGATCTTTCGCGGATCTTCTGTGGTTTCAAAATGGGGGACCCTTTGTGGTCCTTGAAAGCCTTCTTGTGGGGTCCCCAAATCCCTAAACCATCAGCCAAGCGGTAATATTTTTCTTTTTAATCGATGCTGGCTGACCCAGAAAGCTAATTATAGATCCAACCATGTGTTCTGGGTGGAAAAGAGTTGATTATTCTGCATTTCAGAGCCTCAAAGTTGGTTTGCATAGATTTAGTTTTTTTACAGCTGAGCTGTTAAGGGCTAGTTTCCCCAGGATCGTGTCCCCCGCAAAGAACTGTCAACACAAAACTCTGGACAGCTACTGCCATCTGTGAGCAACGGCGGCAACCAGACAACCGGTTTACCGGCCTCGCTCATAGGTGGCGGCAGCCTTTCCAGCCTTTCCACTCTGGTTTTCACGAGAGTGGAAAGGCTGAATTTCGCTAGGCATCGTCCTAGATGTCGTCCTTGAAGCCGTCATTGATGTTTTCCTCGAGGTTGTCCTCGAGGTCATCCTGGAAGTTATCCTTGAGGTCGTCCTAGAAGTCGTCCTAGAAGTCGTCCTTGAGGTCGTCCTACATGTCCTCTAAGCGTCGTCCTTGAGGTCGTCAAAGAAGTCGTCCTTGAGGTCGTCTCACCATAGTACAGCTTTGCTGGTCTTCCTTCTTTACCAGAGTGGAAAGGCTGACAGTTTTTTTTTCATTTAGACTTTTGTTACTGTAATTGCCCATTACCCTCTCCTCCCTCCCGGTTAATGGGGCCCTCCTTTACTTCCATTGATCTGCCCAAAACATTAGTGGTTGAGAACAACTGTTCTAGAGCACTCTAGTAGAATCTTGTAACGTGTTCCTATGCAGACTGTTCTAGACTATGTAGTCTATAAGAGAAGCTGAAACTGGCAACATCAAGGCTGCCTCTCTCTCGTCGCACAGCGTACGGTCCCTTTCTGTTTAAGGGGGGATGTGGGGATCCTCTTACAAAGAACAGGAGCAAAAGTGGTTTTAGAAAGTCTGATATTTCACATTTAGGGCGCCTTTTCTTCGTGGTCTGCGAGTTCTTTTTGGTGAAGACTGTTGTGAACTGGTTATAAATAATAACTTACACTAGCTCAGTTAGCAGAATATAACTTTAAAGATTGTTTTTCAGAGCTGTATACTGATTGCATTTTGGTATGCCTGTGGAGCTGATATCATGGCAACCATTTTGACTAGTCTTGTACCCTTCACTTGATCAACTAACGTGAGTTATAATACACTCTTCTTTTTGTAGAGTTACTTCAACTTATATGGTGATCGCTCACCTGCGAACCATTTATGCCCCCCCAAACAAGGTTCGAACTGGAAATACTTGTGCGAGAAAATTGATATTTGTTTCTTGACAATGCTTGCCCCGCCCCCATTTGCTGGCGCTGGTTCGTGTATTGCAAGCATACCCAATTCCTCACTCGTTTCACAATCAATGTCCACATGTCGACAACAAAATGACACTCGAAGAAAGTGTTTTAAGCTCGGACTCGCTTAGCAAGGCCATGTAGGAGATCAGGTGTAAGCAGGAAACATATCACCTATGCTCTTGGTGCCTTTTAGTTTCCACCACCACCTGTAAAATCAAATGTAGTGGTGTGGAAACTTCAAATAGGTTATCCTCAGGTTCACTTTTTTGCAGCAACTTTCGTTTTAAGAAATCTATCATTTCAATGAATTGCAAAATTTACTCTTTGCTGTGGATGTTTCTGAACTGAAATTTAATGAGGAATGCAGCTAGATATTTTTCTATTTAAAGGAGGTCTTATTGCCAAAAACTAGGGTATTTATGAGGAGGAAATGCCCCACTATGTGGAACACTTTTCAAATTGATATTTTGCATAAAAAGAGTGCGCATTTCAGGGTAAAAAATCGATAGCCGCACTTGCCACATTGTCACGAATGACAGAAGCAGAAGTGGCAAAAATCCTGTTTCAAACTAAAGTTTATTGGGCGAACTTGTGCCGAACAAAATAGAGGAGGAGCGTCGAGACGGCAGACAAGCGAGCCACGATTTGGCAGCGTAGCAGTAAGCAAAAGCTTACTGTTACTTCGAAATGGGGGGAGATACCAGTTGAAAGAAATGCTACCGCATTTAAAAATTCCAAACTTGTCCGGAAGTTTTGAACACGCGTGAGCGCCGTATTTTCCCGACTATAATCCGCACCTCGTGCATACCGTAAAATAGTGCAGACCTGTGCCCAGTTCGTTCAAGCGCCCACTAGTGAGATTTCCCAAACTTGGGAATTCTGCAGATTATACGTTAATACTCATTTGACCGGACGAGCGCCCATGGACAGGACACGGACATACAATTTAGCGAGTGTTAACATTTGAACAGTACGTTGTACGTACCACACGATGCAGCGTTATCCAAAAAGAATTTATTTGAGAAAGATCTCAAATAACACAGTCACAGTCGACAACAGTCACATCTTTATGATCGGACGGAATCCAAGATGACTTCGTTTTGGGGCACGTTTTGGGGAGAGCTTCCTTTTTTCACAACCGCACCAAGGCAAAGGAATGAACGCGACTGACCCGTTTCCCTCCCCAACTTGGACAACTATTTTTGGAGATGACTGAGGATTCTACGCAGATTATCTCTGGGAGAGGGGAGAACAATGTTCACAAGATTGCATCGAGGGCCTTTCGACGCCCTTCACCTCCTTCGTTTCCCGTGAATGTTGAGTAGAACAGCTGGAATGGCAGGCACTTACCAGCCTTGTTGCTCACAATAGAAGAGAACACAAAAAGAGTGCTCGGCACACATAAAAAAAAAAAAAAAAAATTCAAGTGGCAACTTTTAAGGAGGGCTAGAAAACGTTGGATGCAAAACTGCAAAAATGTAGGTAGAGAGCCACGTTGAACGGGTCTTCACAGTCCAACAGAGTGGCAGAAAATTTCTACTGATAGAGGGTGCGAGAGTCGCACCAGCTGCATCAGCATCAGCAACATGGAGGCACGCCTAGGAGCATTTTTTTGGAAAGGTGTATAGTCCGGAGGATATGGTACAGTAAAATAGAAACAAATTCGGTGCAGTCGATATTTCTTCTTTAAGTTGAGACTCATTCACAATTCTACGCTGAAGACTGGTTCACTCGCGACTGCTTACGGCCGAGTGCACCTCTCGCGATATCTTTACGTTTGTGCGAATCTTTCAATTTTCCAATAGTAGTTTGGAATAATGCGCTATTCAATATCCGTTTTGAGATGAACCGCGATAGTCATATTTCTCCAAGCGTCGATCGCTCTCCAACTGTAGCGTTCGTACGAACGGTGGGGAGCCGAGAGGAATGTCAGTGTTGTCAGGTGCGCTTAGCAGTCGCACTCTCGACAACAGGACTCGGTCCACACTGACGAGAGTACAAAAATGGGGGTGTACGTGAAACGGCAACGCGCAATTATGGCAGCAGTGCCAATAAAATCAGTTGGTGACGAACTGATTCCCGCTAAAAAAAAGATGCTTCTCGAAGGGGTGGTTGCAACACAAAGAACGGTATGTGTAAATGGCCAAAAAAAGCGTCCATCCCCCATTTTTTCGCGATTATTTCCAAACTTTGATTGGGCACTTGTCCGGTATTTTACGGTAGGGCTTTCAGGTTTTCCCACTAAATTTAGCGAACGGCAGTCACTCGATGTCACCAGGTCATCCGACATTATCGCCATGACACGGTCAAGTGTTGCGGACCATGTGACCACGTTGCGGGATGTCACCGACGTACAATGCGACACCGTGGGGTTGGACACCGACTACCGTAAACAACTTCATTTTTGAGAGGACGTCAATTTTGCAAATATCGCGACTCCGAAAATATTGCCTAAAATAGGTCGCGCATATAGGTTACCCCGTGGTAAGAAATGCGGGCCCCCCCGGGCGACTCTCGCGCAGGTCCACAATCAGACGTTTGCGGAGGCCGTGACGGAGCCGGGCCTGACGTTTGTGGCTGCCAAGTTTGACGGCATCTTGGGCCTGGGCTTCAGCAACATTGCGGTCATGGGAGCCCCCACGGTCTTTGACAACATGGTGGCGCAGCTGCTCGTGCCCAGGCCCGTCTTCTCCTTCTTCCTCAACCGGTGAGCAACTTCTCGCTGCAATCAAACCCTGGGAGTTGCGAGCAATGCCAGGGGTTGAGGTTGCCCGACACTCTGGCAACCCCCGATGGTTGCGAGAAACCTCGGGCGCTCGTGGCAGCCATGAGCGACGGGAGCAGCCTCTGAGGTTGCTTGAAGCCCTGGAAGTTTGATGTCACGATGGGTGAGAAGAAGGGGTGCGTGGATTCCCTGCTCCTCTAATTCTACTTCGACGCTCCGAGTTTCATACTCCAAGCGTAGCAACTAATTGGAGCACACCATACGGGCCGAAGCTATTGACGAGCTGTAGACCCGCTTCCGACTGCACGGTTATCGCAAACCCTGCTTCTCCTGGATACGGGTGGCAGAAGCCGATATTATTTCCGAGTTAAATTAATTCGGGCCTTTGTGGGAGGGCAGAGTGTAAAGTAAGAAAAAAAAGATGACGTTATAGAGTTCCTTTAAATCTTCTAATATTCCCGAGAGGTTTAGAGACTCGCTTCGAGCACGTATGCAGAAAGTTATCTCAACCCATCTATTTATTGACCGTGTATCCTGTTCAGGTTTAAATAAAAGACGGCAGTCTCGAACTCGCTTGTCAATGCAGGAAACTGTCAGACTTGTCAAAGATGTTTCGTACTTCCATCTTGCGGCGCAAGACTTAATCGTCGATGCACCGCCAGCATTGCACCGTTCAGTAGATGGCACGTCAATTCGTTTTTGGGCGAGATGCACGAACAAACCTTTTCCGCACTGCTAACTGATGTCTCGGCTTTCTAATCGCATCTTTATTCGCTGGGCTAAGAATTCTACAAGGGGCAACAGTCCGACTGTTTTCTCATCTTGACAACTTTCTTGTATAACTGCTACTGACACCCTTAGCACGTTAATTTGTTTTCGGGCTAGATGCACGAACAAACCTTTTCCAGAATGCTAAATGCTGACTTATTGGTAGTAGTACTTTTGAATTTCTTTAAAGCATTCTCTACGAATCTTCCAAATTTGTGCTCTGTGAGGGGTTCCTCTTGCCAAAACCTGTTGGAGAACACGCAAACCCTACAGTAGAGTGCGCCGGAAACTAGGTCCGCCATGTTGGTAGCGGCGAGAAAATGAAACCAGGTACCCGCCTGGCGAAGAGCAGACGTGAACAGGCGGCCCTGCTTCCGGCGACAGGTGCAATGCAAATGCATGGACTCTTTCAGCTGTGGAAGAAGCGAGAGGCCATCGGTTCCTGAAAACAACGAGGCTCACGATTTTTCTTTCAGTTGTTACTTTACACACAATTTTTGACAATAGATACCAGCGGCGATGCGAAGAAACTTGCGGACGTTCTTGCAGCATGCAAGCCCATTTGCAACTGCTGAACTGAGCAGTAGTTCATTCACAAAGTTTTACCAGCAATTTGTTTCTAAATTCGTGTCCTGTTCCGATGCCTGTTGTAGGGTTGACATGCTTGTTTTTTGGGGGTTTTTTTGCGATAGCTGCCCAAAGTATGGGGACTACAAAACTTTGGTTGGGGCTAGTTGGTGCATATCGATTAAAAGGTTAAAAGGCGCGGACAAAACGGGACGAAAAAAGACACGTACGACGCATGGTGCCTGTCCGTGTCGTATGTGTGTCTTTTTTCGTCCTGTCTTAGCGTCTTGATTTTTGTTGAGTATTTTACCGCATAAATGGTTTCTTCTTTTTACACACTGTACAGTGCACGAAATGGGAGGAATACTCGTTCCATTCATATATATAAAAACATTTTAACGTCAAGATGTTGCAAATACTGGGCAGTTGGGTCCGAATGACAGTTGCTTTCCCGGTGCCTCTAGGAACACGACTTCCCCGACCGGTGGAGAGATCACTTTTGGCGGCACGGACGACCGCTTCTACTCCGGGGACATCAGCTACGTCCCTGTCTCAACCAAGGGCTACTGGCAGTTCACGGTGGACAAGTGAGCCATTCTTTGCACCACTCAATTAGTCCTTTCTTCACTTGTACACCACTCTGTACGTTTATGTACTGGTTGCTGTTGGCAAATTCTTTAAGAATAATGTTGCCTCGTTCTTTTTTTTTATTTTTTATTTTTTGCAAATGACGAAAAGTAAAGTGTTGCACACGGGACTGAGACCAACTCTCTCGGAAAATGAAACACCAACACCGATACAGCCGCATACCTACGAGAGGATTTAATATAGGTACCGTATTCCGTAGTCTCAAAGTTATACCCCGCCTTATATTCGAAGCTCAGTATAGCAATATCGCAATTTTTTTTTTTTTTTCTTGGGTCCTTCAACTGCCTCTTCGCCTTATAATCGTGACCATTTTATATTCAAATAAATACGGTAATTGGATTTTTGAGATACTCAAATTAAACACATTTTTGGAATACCAGCACGCTAATTATTTTCCGTAAATTCAAAATAGCTATTGAGAAAATCAGAACTAAAGGTTGTGCCAAAATCTACTTAAAAACTTTCACGCAATCTCTAGTTACGTTGTTTAACTTGCAAGTTGAGCAGGCAGTCTAACAAATGCACTATTGCCGCGCGCACAGCTGGCCAAGTAGGCAGCGCGGCCGTGGCCTGACGGTTATCCTGCTTGCTTCCCACACGAATAGCCAGGGTTCAATTCCTGGGAGCGACGCGTCTTTTATTTCTTCTTGCAATTTTGTATTCTGGTACATTCGTGAATCCCGTTGCTTGTTCGAGGTACAAATGTTCTAATCGCCGAACCTTCTAGGTCGATCGTTCCAGAAGCCAACGCGTGTGCATAAGGGACTCCGTGTGGCGATCCGCAGTCCGTCTCGCCCCAGCATTCGACTCTGCTGTTACGTTGATTTCGATGCCCGCGATGCTCCGTTGTTATCGTCTGTTTCCTTTTCGCTTTGGGCACAAGTTTGCCCCATTCAACGTTTCAGTTTCTTCAGTTATTCCTTGTTTGCCACCTTGTCATTCGTGACAGAATTTCTCCCACTTTTTACTTATTTTTTTAGGGGGAAGTCACACAGCACCAAAGCATTATAGCGGGTCTTCGAGATGAAAACAAAACACAATAGTAGGATAGGAATGCAATGTACAGTAAAGATACGACATAAAAAGTGCATGTAGAGAATAAAATCTAAAAATCGGGACCATGAGAAAAGATGAATGTTTCTTTTATCTTCCTCAAATGGTCTATGCGACTTGACTCGTAGCTTGGTACTTTCAGGTACTTACATTGGTCGATCCCCGTCAAATCATTAAAAGTCGCGGACAAAAAAACCTCAGTCGAGACTTTTTTCGTCTTTAAGGAAAAAAGGTTTCCACCCGATTAAATGTTTTATTTCGGTCGCATTTCTGCTATAATTTCCCGATACAAATGTTGCTGCATGGTTTTGAAGTATCTCGTCTACGAGGTGCTTTTGATGCGGATCCCAGAGAGCACGCGCATATTCAATTGTAGGTCTTACCAACGAGAAATAAGCAGCTCCCTTTCATTTTTCTGGAGCCTAAGTTTCGAACGAGGAAGTTTAAAGTTCGGTTAGCTTCTTTTCTAGCGGGTAACACGAAAATGAAAAGAAAGGGGTGCCTGACAAAGCAATCTCTAGATATTTCCTGTCAATCATTAATGCTCTATTTTTTACAGTTAATAAAATAACACGATGGGGAAGGCTCTCATTTTGTCACCCAAGTGACCTGCCCACATTTTCAGTCTTCAAATCCAACTCCAGAGTCTTAAAACACGTAGACAGTGTTGGGTGAGGTACATCGAAAAAGTACGTCGAGTAAAGTACAAAGTAAATGGGAAATTATGTATACTTCAGGTAAGGTAGTACACTGCACAACATACTTGCAGTAAAGTACTCCAAGTACAATATAGTTCCCAGATAAAGTATGTTTTACCCTTGCATGGTGCCCTTATATTCCCCTATTTTGAAACTGGTACGCATTGCCCCGAGGGTAATCGGGGGTGCATCAGTTATTTCCGGAAATGGCGGTGGATACAGTCAAGTGGCTACAGAGCATTTTTACTCTCGCTATCGAACTGTTCCACAGTATCAACTTGTGAGGCACCTAGTTGTGTCTGTCTTACAGGTGCCATCAATCTACTTTGAGAAAGGACCAGAGAATGTCTCGAAAGACAACCCAGTTTCACACGACAATATGCATTTTCTTTTTTCTTCATATTTGGGGAATGCGCACCTAACTGAGAGAAGAGTCAAAGTGCAGGTAAGCTGGGGAATTGCAGACATAACAAGACCTGAGACTCCAGAAGAAAGAAAAAGGAGGACACACAAAAAAAAAAAATGGAAGACTTTTACAAATTTCTATAACACAAAATTAGAGCGCAGCTCTTGAGGAGGAGGGGAGGGTATGCCCCTCCTCTCTACCCTCCTCCCGCAGTTTTCCCGCTAAATTTAGCTGAAAAATCGCCCGCTAAATTTAGCGGGGAATTGAGTTGCCGTTGAGGTCACGTGACAACAATTTTCTCGCTAAATCTAGCGAGGAAACTGAATTTGTCCATAGGTGACGTGACACCGAGTTGCGTGACGTTATTTTCCCCGCTAAATTTAGTGGGAAATAGAATCGGCGTTGAGGTCGTGTAATGTCACTTTTCCCGCAAAATTTAGCGCAATTATGCCGACGCAGACGGCGCAAAACAAGGAAACGGGCACCTAAGAGGTGAGCTCTAAAAGAGGACGACGCACACAATGTGTGTGTCGTCCTCTCTTAGAGCACTGCAGTCAATGCAGTCACTGCCGAGGTTCACCGCACTCAGCGCAAAGAACCACACCGAGTCACACACCGAGATTGTCAGCAAGGGCAAACAGAAGAACTGCCCTCGACACTGCCACACGTGCCAAGATCAACCAACTGACAGAAAAAAAAGTACTTTCAAGTTAGGAATTATACCCTGGAAAGTGCCAAAAAAAATACTTTAAGTAAGGTACAGGTACATACTTGGAGATTGTACTTCAAGTAAAGTACAAGTTATATTAACCTACCTATTAACCTTAAAGGCCGCCGTACAGTTCGCGCTTTCCACTTTTTCTGCGTTTCCTCCTCCCCTGCCCTCCTTTCCTTTCTTCACCCCCCCCCCCCCCGTTTACCGCCCTTCCCCGAGGGGACAACACGGAGAATGGATTAGGAGACGCCTCCGTTAATCCGGCCTAACCCGCCGAAAAGGGGGCCTGCTGCTTGACCAAAAATTATTTCGCTGCTCGAAAAAAAAAAAAAAAAAAAAAAAGAAAAACGCCGGGGGCAGCGACCGAATGCGCTTTGCGGGATGCGCAACGCTCCGTCCGCCTTGAACAAGCTTGTATGCACTGGACTAACATTTTTCGCAGCGCGGCAGGTTTAGTGTAGGTCCTATCATATGGTCCTGCAAGACTTCCCTGTCCGCCACAAGCTAGCCAATAATTCAAGAACATAACGACGGCAGCGTAGTCAAACAGTGTAAAATAAAATGTATATAATATTTATAAGAACACCGTTGTCTTCACTGCTTGGCTTTCAAATTTTTAGCGTTGCCAATAATCGTAATCAAACTATTTTTATGATTGAAGACCCCTCGTCGTGCATCGACCCCAAGATTACGCTTACGTGAAATATGATTCTGCGCGGAAGCGGCTCGAGTCACCGTAAACTTTTTTTTTTTCTTTTTTTCAACGTGGATTTTGCTTTTTAATTTAGCTGAAATACCACTGGCAGAACACGAATCGCATACTTGGAAGGTATATACCGTCTGAAAACTCATATAGCTGGTTGAGTGAATGCAATACTATCGCATTCGTTGAAGCTTGATTTGTTGATTCGAACTTCAACAAATCATACGCACCCATTCTCCCTATTCCTGTTTACCCAGTCATAGTCGTTCCCTCACGATGCAATACGTGTACAAGTAACTGCAGTTTATGCATTGTTGACGTTGCACAGCCGTGATCGCACGGTTTTTAGAAGCGCTATAGAACGAGCACAAGCGTCGAATTCCAGTACACTGATTGATTTTTGTCTCACCGCCGTGACGCCACACGAGAAAAGCGATTTCGTTCTGTCTGTGAAATTAGGAACACAGAAATCAAGCTATAATCCCGGTGATAAAACAAAACGAAATGGATCTCTGTAGCCAATACCCAACCGTTTGCGAGGTGACTAGGCGAAAGCATATATTACCTCCGTACCTTTACCCTCTGCACACCGCCAGAGAGAGTCATACAAACTCCTTAGAGCTATTGCCAACACGATTGCGTTTGCAAGCCGGTAGTTTGACTCGGCTGGGATTCGTCCCTTTCATAGCTCTCTATGAAACCAGAAAGGTAGATACTTTTCTACATAGGGTGGGTTTGCCCGGGGCCTCCAGTTATTTACGGCCAAAATCACACTGGAGGCGCTTCAGCAATGTTCACTCTGGTCGACACACGTGCACTGTAAAAATGCCAGTCGTCTACTCTTTCCGAAAAGATACTTGACGAGCCAATCTTAGAGACCGACGGATAACGAGGCCGAAATTATGCTTATACCTCAAAAAAATTATAACACAAATTTGGCCTCGTCATTCCCAAACTGGTTGCCGGACGAAATTTTCTATGCGTATTGCAAGCCAGGGTTGGTAATAGTAACATAAGATACGTACGGCAGAATTCCCTTCCATAAATAAAATTATTTGGCTGACGCCAAAGTAACGCGAAATTGGTGCAAAGAGTTTTGCAAAAGGGAGCGTAAACCGAAAAAAAGGGAAGAAAAAAAGACAGAAGAATAGGAGAAATAAGAAAAAAAAATTCTCTGGTGACGTGGCCAAAAAAATTTCTGTTCATGTGATCTTTATTGTCACGTGACCGAACAAAAAAAATAAGCGAAATAAAAAAAGAACACGAGAAAAAAACCATCTCCTGCCCGGTTTCGAAGCTAGGCCCTCTTGATCGTGAAACTAGCGCGCTATTCGTTGCGCCTAGTTGCGCCAACATAACTTTTT